GAGACGAATAACATCATTTTTTGTGGGAAGTAACTTTGAAGAACGGGGACTTTTTATATCAGATTCATCTTTCAATTTATGATCCAGTGAAGTCAATTTATTAATGCTATTCTCATTTTCATCATTTTTCACCTGTATTCTATCATTGTAACTGTAGGAAATTATTGTTTGTCGTTCTAAAGCCATCACTCGAAGTTCTTCGAATGAAAATTCATTCCCTTCAACATATCCAATATTTTTCACCTGTACTCTATCATTGTAACTATAGGAAACTATTGTTCGTCGTTCTAAAGCCATCACTCGAAGTTCTTCGAATGAAAACTCATTCCCTTCAACATATCCAATATTTTTCACCTGTACTCTATCATTGTAACTGTAGGAAACTATTGTTCGTCGTTCTAAAGCCCTCACTCGAAGTTCTTCGAATGAAAATTCATTCCTATCAACCATAGCCGTTGACGCGTTAATCTGTTTACCCTAAAATTTTATCGTGATCACATTTTTGTACATCAGTTCTGTGTAACATTGCGTTCATCAATTAGATAATTTTTAAAACTTTTGAGTGAAGATACCTCGACAACTACTCAATAAAATTCGATGAATTTTTTTTTAACTTAGTTATATGGATTTGAAGAATCAAAATAAAAAAATTTTCATCGAATTTCATCGGGTGGTTGTTGAGGTATCTTCGCACAAAGTTTATGTATAATTATATTAGTAAGATTCACGAAATTTTTTTTAAAAAACTTTGAACGAAGCTATTTCAACAACCACCCAACGAATTTCGATGAAAACTTTTTTATTTGGATTCTTTGAATTCGTAATGTCATTTTTTAAAAAAAAATCATCGAATTTCATCAGGTGGTTGTCGAGATATCTTCACTCAAAGGTGGTGTATAATTCAAAATGTTAAATAAGGGCCGCGAAAATTTTTTTTAAAAAAAAAACTTTGAATGAAGATATCTCGACAACCACCTAATTAAATTCGATAAACTTTTTTTTAAAAAAATATTATAAGATTACAAGAATCAAAATAAAAAATTTACATCGAATTTCATTGAGTAATTATCGAGATATCTTCGTTTGGAAGTTTTTTTTTTTTATAACAATTTAATCGTTTATGAATTTTGCTCCAACTTTGAGCGAAGATATCTCGACAACCATCCAATGAAATTCGATGAAATCTTTTTTTATTTTGATTCTTCAAATCAATATAACTAATTTAAAAAAAATTTCATCGAATTTTATTGAGTGGTTGTCGAGATATCTTTAAATTAATTGATGTACGCAATGTTACACAACTGATGTACAAAAAAGAATGCCGTTTAAATTTTTGCCGAAAGCCTTTAGTGCTAGTATACGGTCATTACCTTCTGAGTCGATAAAAGTCGAAGCAAGTCGAGTCGAGTCGTTAGCATCCCTACACTATACATGGGAGGGTTTATAGTCTGCGCTGTACGGTATTTATTTTTTTTTACTATTATTATGTTATTATTAAAGATATAAAATTTTTGGATTTTCATTATATTGGAGGTTAAGTAATTAATTAATCACAACCTAAAACTCGCCGCCTATATACTTTCAATTTTTCCTGGTGTCTTAAACCTTCGCTCCGGGTTTTGAACCTTATCTGAAGGTTAATATAATAATCTTGATTACCCCATGATATAACGAAGAAAAAAAAATAAAACAAATTGCGTGTATTTGGCGTGACACCTGCTTAAAACACGATTTATCGCTATGCATTTTTCAATTTTATTTTTGGCCAGAATTACATAAATATGCCAGCATTACGATCTGCAAATCCTGGCCAAAATTATTTCAATCATCGGCCCAGGGTTGTGCAGGGACACGCGTAAATATTGATTTGGATAAATTTGAAATTAGCAATTTTAATTAATTAAATTTTTATCCTAAAAATCCCGTTTATCAATGTTCATTAATCATCCACAATCCCGAAAAAAAAAATCGTTCAACGTCAACCTGCCGATAAGTTACCATAAATTTTGGCCACCATTATTGGAAGACTTCGTTATAGTATACAAAATACGGAGACTTTCGGAATAAAATATAAGCTACTTCGCTGTCAACTTCGTTGGGTAATTTACTGGTAATTACCATTTTGGTAACTTACCGTAATTTTACAAATCTGGGGGCGGAGTCAAACGTAAAATAATTATAAATAATAATTATATCATTGAATATGCACATCTGCTATAAGGAACAGCATTTCATTTGATATGTAACACCCTTGAGGATCTATGGACCACTCACCGTCCCGTCTGGGACTAAATTAAAATCTTCACCTGTTAATAATTATCAAGAAATTAATTTCCCCACTCTTCACTCCTTTTACTGAACAAAATGCCAAGGAGGACT